GTACACGAGGGGGTGGGTGGCCAGCACCATTCCCGACCGCCTTTGTTTCCCTAGTGGAAATGTTTAAACACCGCACCAGGTACTAATTTGAAGCTGAGTCGACCTAGGGGAGGGCCAAGACCGGTTCACATAATCGTCTCTGGTGTTGGCCGTGAGCGGGAATCGAACTCGTGTCACCAGGTTCATAGCGCAGCTCGCCAACCGCTACACCACCGCTCCCCGTTCACACATACACACATACACACACATACACACATACACACACATACACACATATACACACACATACATACACACATACACGCGGAAACAGAGATGACCCCGAGCACCGAAAAGGCCCTAATAGCACAAGAGGGGGTGGCCAGCACGACTCCCGGCCGCCTTTGTCTCCCCACACCGCACCAGATCCTCATTTGAGGCTGAGTCGACCTAGGGGAGGCCCAGGACCGGTTAAAATAATCGTCACTGGTAGTGACCGCGTGAGCTGGTGCATAGCCCAGCGCGCTAACCGCTGGGCCACGTTTTCTGTGTGTCACATTCTCAAAGACGCGCAACTCGCGCTGCCTGCAACGTTACAAACGAATCACAAGCGCGCCGAGTAAAGCAGCGGAGCTGCTGCTGCTGCCGCTGCTGCTGCTGCAGCTTTGCAGGTCCTCGCCCCTGTGGGACGCGGCTCTCTCGCAATGATCCTTGATGATATTTTTCCTAATTGTGCAAAAAAAATAAACACTCCACTTCCCCCGACAGTCGCCCCCTCGCTTGTAGGCGCCCTCTAAGCCGCGCGTGTGTGTGTGTGCGTGTGTGCGTGTGTGTGTGCGCGTGTGTGTGTGTGCGTGTGTGCGTGTGTGCGTGTGTGTGTGCGTGTGTGTGTGCGCGTGTGTGTGTGTGTGTGCGTGTGTGTGTGCGCGTGTGTGTGTGTGCGTGTGTGCGTGTGTGCGTGTGTGCGTGTATGCGTGTGTGTGTGCGCGCGTGTGTGTGTGTGTGCGTGTGTGTGTGCGCGTGTGTGTGTGTGCGTGTGTGCGTGTGTGTGTGCGCGTGTGTGTGTGTGTGTGTGCGTGTGTGCGTGTGTGTGTGCGCGCGTGTGTGTGTGTGTGCGTGTGTGTGTGCGCGTGTGTGTGTGTGCGTGTGTGCGTGTGTGTGTGCGCGTGTGTGTGTGTGTCTGCGTGTGTGTGTGTGTTCGTGTGTGTGTGCGTGTGTGCGCGTGTGTGCGCGTGTGTGTGCGCGTGTGTGCGTGTATGTGCGCGTGTGTGTGCGTGTGTGTGCGTATGTGTGTGCGTGTGTATTCGTGTGTGCGCGTGTGTGGGTGCATATATGTGTGCGTGTGTGTATGCGTGTTCGTGTGCGCGTGTGTGTGTGCGTGCGTGTGTGCGTGCGTGCGTGCGTGCGTGCTTTATGCGTTTCGCTCTCCCTCTGCGAGCGGTGCTAAACGTCGGGGATATGAAAGGTATCACAAGCACAAGAGAAGCGGATTTTTTTTTCTTCGTTCCACTCAAGACCAGCTCGCCGTGTCGTGGTGTCCCAGTGGCCCCCCGGGCTTGTCTGGCTCCGCTCGAGGCTGGGTCAGCGGGGGGGGGGGGGGTCGACAAGCCTGCGGCTCGGAGTCGCACGCGGCGCTCGGGGGAGCTGCTTCGTGACGTTGCCCATTCAGGCTCACGGGAGTCACGTGTTCACGGTACATTGCGGCTCTTGAAATATTGGGGGCTCTTTTTGTTACCGAATTTGAAAAAAAATGTCTCTTCTTGTTAGTTTGATTGTCGACCCTTGGGCAACATGTTCCAAAGTGAAATTTCCATATCGTTTCTTGTCTGCCCGTGAATTAAATTATCTCTGTGCAACATTTCGACGTGAGATGTTACGAATCAGAATATGTATCTATTACTGGAGGAATCCGATGAGCTATTAAGGGCCCTCTCACAGACGTCCAGTCTGGGGCGGGTTCAGAACCTTACACCAACAAACGATGCAACGCACACGATAGGAGTGGCAAGTATCGTAAAGCAGTCGATGTGTAAAACCACAAACTTGTGTTTGGCGTGGGCACGTGGCAAGGATGGAGGGATGGAGGCCGAGGCATGGCGGACGAAGGATTTGCACTGCCAAGGTGGACAGGGTAAACAGCAGGGGGGTGGGCACGGTGAGGTTGGCTCGCCAACATCGCAAGAAAGAGCTCAGAGAGACGAGGGGCTGCTGCAGGCAGCGGTCGCGGTGCGGTCCCGGAGCGCAACACTCTCCACACCTAAATGTGACCATATAGCAACGTGTGTATGTATGCTGAACTTCTTTCGCATCGTACGGAGCTAATCGTAGAGACACAAAGCTATACATAGAGACCCATAAAGACGCGTTAATGGCAAACCACAGGAGTGCGATTGTGGCAATGAAACCGACACTCCAGGCCACTTTATAAACTGGTTAGTGCCGGTTGAGACGACTTTCTTTCCGAGTTGCTCATCGCCCGTTCCCACCAAGTGCACTCGGTATCAATGTGAGGCCAATAAAGGCCATAAAGTAGGAGAAATTCGTATGCGGTGTACGATTGTACATCGGGAGGTAACTATATTTCAAGAATCACATTTCCAGAGAGATTTGTTTTTATTGAACATTTGTCATTGAGCCACGCACACATCGCCAGGTTGTATTAATAAAGCGTCTAATGATCCCCGCGATCGAGTTAAACATACCTCTAATCCAGGGCCAGCGTCAATGGAGCGACCCTTCCTGTGTAATCACAACACAGATGCCCCCCCCACCCACACACCAATCGCAGTAACGCTATTCCAACCGTTGCCCGCTAACTCGAGACTTACGCGGCCTTTAATCTATACATTTTGAAACGTAATACATTGTTTAAAAATTGGCCAATTAGCCTAAATAACGTGCACCTGTCTACAGAGTTGTCCGTCTCTAGCCCGGCCGGAGAGACCGTGAGTGTGCGCTCTGCTTGCCATTATTTCGCGGGGGGGGGGGTGCGGCAGGGGCTCCGTGGTGGCCGTGCGCATGGCGCGTTCGACTCACGTGTAGGAGTCTGCGCTGTGCCGCCTTCCGTCTTCGGCTCATGCTCGGAGGTCGACTCAGCCAAAGAAGCCTGTTTCGTGGTTGACGACAAGTCACCCACTTTGTAGGGCGCCCGCAGTCTCCATCGTGGGTAGGCAATGAATAATGAAGCAATAAAAAAACATCCCAGCCGTTCTCAAATTCGCCAATGAAAACCCCTCCGTTGTTGTTTTTTTTTGTACCATACTTCATACCGCGCTGATCGTATGTATGCTGGACTTCTTTCGCACCGTACGTAACCAACCTTGCTCATCAAGGGTACTGCGGAAGGACAACAAACTCAACGCGACAAGCGATGGGGGTGGATGGAACGAGCAATCGCCACCGATGCTCGCCGCGGTTGGGATTCAAACTTCGATCGCCGGGTTCAGAGCGCACGACGCTCGCCGCTGCGCTAACGACCCTCCCTCTCCCTCTCTCCCTCTGTCTCTCTCTCCAACACGTTCCGACAAGAATCCGCGACTTGTACCCACTGAGTCGAGAGCTCAGCGCTTCGCCGACGGTCTCGTGGACGGGGAAAAACGGACGTCGCAGCGCGTCACACCGAGTGGATGCCCACAGAGTAAACCTCCGCAGCAGAATCTCCCCACGCGTGAAATCCGCCAGATGCCCCTGACCCACCGGCAGGGCATGTGGCGTGCGCTGTGGGGAGCGGTAGCGTAGTGGCCAGCGCACTACGAACCCGGCCACCACCATGGAAGGTTATCTGAAACGGGCCTGGACCTCCCCTAGGTCGAGCCTCAAATGAGTATCTGGTGCGGTGTGTAAACATCGTCACTGGGGAGACAAAGGCGGTCGGGCGTGGTGCTGGCCACCCACCCCCTCGTGTGCCGTGCCGGCCTTCATAGGTGCTCGCTAACAGCACTTGCCCCAGCAGCCTGTTAATGCTACACGGTGGGCCTCTGTGTTTGTTGTGGAAGTTGTGTGTATGTATTCGGCTCCAGACATGGTGAGTTCCAGCATAACTGTACACCTCCACTGTCCACATATGTTATGCCATGCTCCTCATTTTTACGTCATTAACGTAATTATTAAATAATGTATAGTATTACTCGGCGAGACATGTAAAGTGTATGTAAATGTATACTATTCATGGCACACACAAAAAATGCATTTAATTTAAAGGAGGAAATACCCGTTCCTTGCGCAGGCCAGAGGCCACCTGACAGTGTTCAAGATAGTCGACATGGCAGCGTCACAATCTAGGAATGGACCAGAAAACCCGCTCGAAACTTCCGCGTTTGTGCCGCAAATTAAGTGGCCTGCGAAGAAGCAATGGGCGAATGTATATTGCATACATATATAGCCACACTCAAAATAGGCGAGGATTTGGTAAATGTTCCTTCTTTATTGCAAGGCTATTGCCCGAAACGTCGTCTATTATTATTATTTAAATTAATGCAATGCTATTGACCAATGTGCGGAGTTTTTGTTAATGCCGTGCAAGCGACGGCTCCACGTGTTGCAGTGTCAGTATATGTAGCACGTAGTCATGAGAGTAACGGGAGCCGTGCAGAGGCGTTAAAGTAAAACATCGCTTTCTCTCTCTCCCTATGATGTCACTGAGGCTTCTACAACTGCATCGTCCTGGAGAGTTTGTGAGTATCGTGATCGGAACGTGCTGAGATCAGCAACCCACGCGCTCATGGGTTGTTGATCCTTGCCACGTGCCCGCGGCTTCGACTCGGTTTGCAAATCTCACCGGCATCGATAAAGTTACAACCAATTTCTGGAGATAAAAAAAACATACAAATATTATTCTTCTCGTCATAGGAATGTGGAATTTCCACGACTAATGCGTATCAATTACCACCTTGACTGAGCGAAGGCACCACGAGGTACGACCCCGCATCGGTAGATTTGGGGCGGCTTGAATACAACGACCTCGTGACACAGACAGATGTACTCAACACAAAGTATTTATTAGTTTGGACTTTTGTTTTCAATTAAGCATAAATTACAATTACGGTACAGTATATACACACACATGGCGACGCCGCGCGTCCATGCGAGACGCATGCGCGAGTGTGAGTGAGCGTGTGTGCACTTGCCCCAGAAAGTCCGTCAAGACTATACGGGGGATCTTTGTCTTTGTGTGTAACAGTCAGGGCAATTATAAAAACGAAACCAGACGGAACAAAACAGAGGTGTGCGTGTGCGCGTAGTGCGACTCAACTTCAAATGAGTAGCTGGTGCGGTGTGTAAACATCAGCACTGGCGTGGAGGGAGGCAAAGGCGGCCAGGCGTAGTCCTGGCCACATCACTCGCTCATAGGCGCCGTGCCGGCCTTCGTGTATGTGTATGTATGTTGAACTTCTTTCGCACCGTACGTAGCCAACCGCGCTAATCGGCTGGCTAACAGCAGATGTCCCAACAGTCTGTGTAGGCTATAGCATGGTTGTTGCCCGGGCGGCATTCCGATCGATTGCAAGGCTGACTGCGCAGGCCCCTCTACGCATCACATCACACGGGCACAAACGCCGGCCGGCGTTGTGCAATGGCACGGGTGTCACGATGGCGGTGCTGGTAGAGGAGTGCACGGGTGGTGGTGGTTGGTGGGGGTCTTCATCTCTCGGTTGTCCTCGTGTCTGGACAGGGCGGGGAGAGCTCCGCGTCGGGGTCGCGCGAGATGACGCCGCCGCCACCGCCACCGCGCGACTGCTCGGCCTTGGCCTCCGGCGTGGCCGCGTGCTTCTGTCGCCGCCACTTGGCCCTCCTGTTCTTGAACCAAACCTGCGCGGGAGAGACGCCAGACGCGAGTCATGGACCCGGGGAGTAAAACCCCCACGGTGGCCTGCGCTCCTTCAGCGGACGACGGGGAGGACTAGGAGACAATTTCACGAACGAATTCTCCTCTCTCTTGCAATCTATCCTGAAGCCCTCTCGTCGTGGAGAGCGCACGCCTCGACATTTGGCATCGAGCGCCCGAACGCGTTGCCACGAGCAAGAGTAGACTGACAGTTCGCGTGGACAGGGAGCACGGGAGTTTCACGACATGTGCGTGCCATCCACCAGCCCTCGCCGCTGCCCCCACAGTGCTGGATTAGAGCCAGGTGCATAGCCACCATCGCCCGACTGGGTTAATAAAGGACCGCGAGTTGACGGTGCACGCACACGCCGCATACAAAACATCACAGGTCAACAATTCATCTTGAAATAGTGAGGATAAACCGTGCCACAGAGCCACGCAACACGCTCGCCCTCTGTGGGCCTCACGCAGAATTGCCGAGATGCCACATCCTGTGCCTGATTATCCTCGTAGCAAAAGTAGCTATGTACATATGTAGTAGCTACTACATATGTAGTACTACTGCTACTACATATGTAGTAGCTACATTATGTAGTACTACATATGTAGTAGCTACGGGTCTCGCACTTTCAAGGGCCCCGCGCTAAATGCTTTCAAGCTATCAATTCCGGTTCAGTGATTCTGCACTTGCTCTATTACGATAGTACTATACCGCCTTCAACTTTAATGAACGACTTGGTGTTTAAGGTTAGCGATTTGTCGTATTATCTGGGCTACATAGCAAATGAAAAAATACAATAACTTTACTATGCAAGTAAAAAAATCTGTGTTTTAATATTAGTTTTCATTTATTATTTAGGGCCCCTTGATAACGTGTGCTACAGGCCCCGCACGGAGCTTAATCCGACACTGGTCACAGCTGTACCCGTTCCCCTTGAACGTGCTGTGGGCATTATAGTGGCGAGGGCTGTCGGTGGCATGATCACGTGTGTGCGTGATCACACGTGTGTGCGTGATCACACGTGTGCGTGATCACACGTGTGCTCGAGCACTTCGGGCTGTCAAGCCTCCCGAGTAGAAACACGCATGGCACGGTTGTTGTTGTTACAATGACGCACTTCCCTCCAGCAAGCCCACTCCACTGCTGCCGTACACCGCCGCTTGCCTTACTCGCTCTGTGTTTCCCAGAGACACATGACGCTTGCATGCGGGGCCAGCAAACCTCACGGATAAAGTCATTCCCGAAGTACGTTGGTTTATTATTATTATAATGATTGTTTAATACGTAGGCTTTCGCGACCAATATCATGCATAGTATAGGTTTTTTTTTGGGTTAGATCGCGTAAATATATAAATGTGTCGTTAAACAAGCCACCACCCGACAGCCAATTAGTAAGGTTTGTCACGTTAACAGAACATGCCAAACGAAACGACCTGTCTCGGACCGCTATGGGCTCACACGAAACTGATTTTTCCAAGACGTAGATGCTCTGCAATCCTACCGGCTACCTTCAGAGATTTATTCACGAAGCCATCCAGATATATAAACAGACACAACTTCAACCGAGAGGATGAGTACAAACTGAGCAACCATTGGAAGGACGTTATTAACCAAGTAAAGTCTTAACTGACTGTGATGTTTCCATCCTACCTGCCTATGTCAGCTGTTATTTCCGACTCTCTGTGTCTCTCTCCATCACGCTCGGCGCGGTAAACACGACTCGTGCAAAGTAACCCGCATCCTGGTGAGTGGCATCCTCGTTGGAGGAGGCATGGGGGCAGCGGCGTCGTCATGAGACTGACGACGCCGTACCCGTGGCTACACCACGGGAAGGGAGCTTGAGTCCAGGGTGGTGTGTACGGAGCAAAGCGATAGGAACGGAATAGGGAAGAAAGAAGAAGATGAATGGAAAATAAGAGTAAATTATTGAACAGGAACGGAGAATTTCGAGCAAAGGGTCAGGAAATATGCGGATAGGGAGGCAAAGGCTGCCTACTTCAGCAGTTAATGTTATACAGTATATATATCCCTACGGTGTATATACTGTGCACACAAAAACTTAGACTCGATCTCAGACTTGTGCTCAATCTCGACACATCGCGACACACGCATCGGCTGTGAATATGCACGAAATAAACACGCGAGCACATACTTGTTGTCATTCACGCAAAGGACACAAACAGTGTCTCCGTATTTGAATTACGGCACGTTCCTGAGCACAGCCCCCACCTCCCCCAACAAACGCCAAGCGGCCAGCAACACACGGCACTTTGTTTGTTTAATTGTTCTACGTTGGAATAGTCAGAGGGCACGATGCGCGCGCGAGTTCTCGACGGAACCGCGCCGTCCCGTCCCTGCAGAGGAGCCACACGCGTCTGCCGTGGTCGTGCGAACGCGATGCAGGCTCTGGCAAAGGGCACGAGGTCCCGAGGGGGGGGGGGGGGGTCTGCACCGTAAGTTCCTTGTGATCGCGACTACGTTACACACTCAGTAAGTCAGAGTCGCAGGGTCTCCCTGCTCACGCGAGCGTGGGACAGCGTTTCTTCGTTTCTCCTTTGCGCGTTCCCGAGTCGGGGGGGGGTTCATGCCGCACCACGGCCGCTATTTACGTCCCACAATTCTAAACCGATTTATCCCCCCCCCTCCATCACCCGCCCACGTAGTGATGATGGGCTGTGTAGTCTCCCGGACTTAGCATTCTACTCACAGGGTTTTGACCGTGAGTCGAGAGCCTCCCTCTAATCAAAGCGCCACCACCCACCCCGCGAATTCTGATTGAAAGATAGGCAAAGGAGCAGCCCTGCAATTTCTTACTCAGGCCACTGCTGGCGAAAGGGCCTCCGCTACAGGGAGCTCACGAGGGTTCCTCTAGACAGGGTATTTGGTCTACTCGTCCACGCTCGCCAACCATCTTTGGAGAGGTGGGGTACCCACACTTTACCCCACCGCACGCGGACGGCCGATCGACTGAGCGTGCAGTGCGCGTGTGGACTTCGCTGCTGCTGCTGCGTGCGGCGAAGCGGGTTTCAAGAGTCTTGCACTTTTTTCGTGTTTTGGTGCCGCGCCCGTAGATCGAACCGGCGTCTCTCAATCAAAGATGTACGGCAGCGACAAACCCTCGAGTCGCTTCACGTGGCACACGAGATCCCTGGATGAATAGCGGCTTATAAATGTAAATAATAATTATTATTTACATTAATAACTATGGACAACATTCCCGTGAGCGCGCCCGCTCTGCTCGCCGTCTCTCACTCGGGGCCGTCTCCCCGCTTCGCGTTTCGCTGTCAGGGAACCCGGTCAATCAGGGCGGACGCGTCACTAGCACGGTTGGCTACGTACGGTGCGAAAGAAGTTCAACATCAGGTAGATGCGTCATGCAGGAACAACGCTCAGCTCGAATATATTTACGTAAGGCAATATAGACAGAACGGATTGTCAAAGTGATGTAATGCTTACCAAAGGAAAAATGTGTGTATACGTGTGCGCTGTTAGTTTAGACATTATATTACATTGACAAAAGCATTACAGTAAATGTAATCCCAACTTCATAGCGGATAAAATAAATATGTTATTGCGTGAATATGTTTCAGTAAGTAAACATTTACTCGCATATATATGTGGATATATTTAGTTGAGGAAGCAAACGTTTACAATATCTATTATCCTAAACGTGAATGTGATTTTTCTCAAAACTGCAATCGATTACGTTTTATTGTTGTCGATTTTTAACAAAATATATTAAGGGTCCAAGATAAAGGTGCAGCCCTGCAATTGCTTGCTCACACCTTTGCTGGCAGAAGCCGCCTCGACCAGAGGGAGCTCTGGATAGCCCTTACACGGAGTGGATAAGAGTTGGAAACAGAAATTCGCATCCGCTCGAGCTGTCCGGCCTATGTGTTGTGAAGAGGGGCCATTGCCCGAAACGTCGAACAAGTATCTACTTTGTTTCGTTTCAAGGTAGCGTATCATAATCAGAACATGCATTTATAGAGGCACAATCCGATGAGCTATAAAGCTCTTGTTCACAGATGTCCAGTGGGTGCGAGTCAGAACCTCGGCGTGTGACTTGTGACCCGCTGCCAACGCAGCAGAGTCGCCGAACGTTGTAGCGATGATGACGATGATGATGATCAAATTGCGGTCGCAATGTCTAAGAAGCGATGGCGAATCGTGACCCAGACCCTGGGAGGAGGTTTACAGCAGCCGTCTCAAGGCAGGGGGCCGCAGTGCTGGGTTTGACGGCGAAAGGCGAAGGCGTTTGGTTGTTTAAACTTTACAGAAGGCAGGGAACGGAGAGAAAACGCGCGGCTCTTACTTATCTCGTAGATTGAGATCTGTCCTGCCCGGGTCGTCCGACACGAAATTAAAGCCTCATTCGTGAATAATCAAATCAGTCAGGGGCACTATGGTGACGTCAACGCATGGCCACGTGCGTTCTTCTTAATGCAGCTTCGCTACACTAAAGTTGCCGTTTTATAAATGTGGGTTTCTATTTAATCAAGATTTGAGCTCGTGTCGGACAGCATGGGAAGAAGACACCACGTGGTATGTATCTAAGACGAGAGCTTCCTTCAGTTCCTGAAGGAGATTCCAGCCTGTGGGGTGAAACGTCGGTCATCGTGCCGAACGACAGACGATACGTATGTGTGTTACTGTATGTTGAACTTCTTTCGCACCGTACGTAGACAACCGTGCTAATCGTGTGTGTGGCGGGGTTTCTAGAACGTTGTCCCACCGGACACAGTTGCGGAGTGCGTCTTATAATCCGGAACACGCTGTTATTGTGATCGCTGCAACGATTTCAATTCGTGCACGGACGCTCGGCAATGTTTAATAACCTTCCTGATCGCACTCCCAGCTGAACCACCCCACCAAGCACGTGGTGCGGAACGTCGGACAAAATGCCGAACAGCGTGCGCGGTCCAAGCGGCACACACATCGGAGAACTAACTTGGTATGGAGGAGATACCATGTCCCTCAACTCGTTCATACATCATGATTGCAGTTGAAATTAGTTTGCCAGCTGTGTGTGTGTGTATATATATCCAGTATATATATGTGTATATATCTAGTATATATGTGTGTGTATTGCTGGGTGGGGAGCGGTAGCGTAGTGGTTAGCGCTACGCTGCGCTACGAACCCGGCGACCCAAGTTGGATTACCGCTCAGGGCCAACGGCAGTGACGATTATCTGAACCGGTCCTCCCCTAGGTCGACTCAGCCTCAAATGAGGACCCGGTGTGGTGCTGGCCACCCCCCCCCCCCCCCCCCCCCCCCACTATGCCGTGTCGGCATTCACTCTCGCTAACAGCCCTTGCTCCACACGTCTGTTGAGGGCTACACGGACACTTGCCCTGATGTGTCTAGACACGACTGCTTGACACGCTGTGTCCACACCGGCAAACGACTTCACATGTTGCGCAGAAAAGAGAAAGACCCGCGGACACATCCTGAATAAACGGAATCATTGTGATGGCTGGTATTAAGGTATACGGGCCGATCCATTTACAGATACCCCGCTAATATACTATGGATCCGTTACAAATTAAACAAATCACACCAACTATTTCAAAGCCCCTCCGCGTCTCCCACGAATCTCAACGCACGCATCAACGATTTAGCTCTCTACCCTGTCATATGCGGAGCCATCGCTCTCACACCATTCAATCACGAGAATTCGCGTAAGAGGGCGATTATAAAGCAGTGGGGTAGCGATACATGAATCACGGATCCATCATATAAAGTTAGAACGTGGTTGTATTTACTGTGATGTCGAGGCGCAGCATCGATGATAATAATACCGGGGCGAGAGGCGTTGTTAGCGAGCACCTATTAACAACGCCTTGCCCTGCTTTGTCTCCACCACACGGGCGGTGACGCAGCGCAGCTCGGCACGGGACTCGTTTCAGGCTGAGCTGACTTAGGGGAAGGTCCACGACGTAATAGGTTCAGGTAGAGACCTGTCCCGTCGTGGCCCTTCGTGGCCCTTCGTGGCCGGGAATTGAAACCCGGAGCGCAATGCGCCTCTCACCGCGGCACTGCCCGAGTCTATAATAGATCAGTACAAAGACAAAGATCCCCCGTGTAGCCTTAACAGACTGTTGGGGCAAGTGCTGTTAGCGAGTAGCACCTATGAAGGCCGGCACGGTACGCATAGGAGTGGGTAGCCAGCGCCACGCCTGGCCGCCTTTGTCTCCCAAGTGGCGATGTTTACACACCGCACCAGGTACTGTACTCATTCGAGGTTGAGTCGACCTAGGGGAGGCCCAGGACCGGTTCAGATAATCATCACTGATGGTGGCCGTGAGCTGGAATCGAACACGGGTCGCCAGGTTCGTAGTGCAGCGTGCTAGCCGCTACATCACCGCAGTACACACACACATACACACGTACACATACACACATACACACGTACACACACATACACACGTACACACACATACACACACGTACACACACATACACACACGCGTACACACATACACACACACGCACGTCGCATTCTCCGGATTATACAACTCTCCGGATAGTAAGACGCACCCCAAGCGTGTGCACGGCGTCAGCAAAAGGTTCACAAATCTGACCACACACACACCTGCCGGATTATAAGACGCACCACAGAATTTAGCTTTAAAATGCAATGATTATAGATCTCCAACACAGCGGCGTGCTGAACTCATAACGAAGTGGCACGTTTTGTTTACGCGACAAACCTGAGCGATTGTCTGTGTCGAGTGGTGGTGGGTTGACGACACAATTATATTCACGCGAGCTGACCCTAAAAAAGGGGCTCTGTTATGGTGAGCAGCAGCAGCAGTCCCCGTGAAATTCGAGCTCGCAGTTTGTGGCTGTGAGTGCCGTGTGTGTATATGTGTGTGTGTGTGTATATGTGTGTGTATGTGTATATATGTGTATGTATATATGTGTGTGTATGTATATATATGTGTGTGTATATATGTGTGTGTATATATATATGTGTGGGGAGCGGTAATGTAGCGGTTAGCGTGCTGCGCTATGAACCTGGCGTCCCGGGATCGATTCCTGCTCACGGCCAACATCAGTAACGATTATTTGTACCGGTACCTGGGCATCCCCTAGGTTGACTCAGCCTCAAACGAATACCCGGTGCGATGTCAAAACATCGCCACTGGGGAGACAAAGGCGGCCGGCCGTGGTGTTGGCCACCCATCCCCTCGTGTGCCGTGCCGGCCTTTAGAGGTGCTCGCTAACAGCACTTGTCCCGACAGTCTGTTAAGGATATACGGGGGATCTTTGTCTTTGTGTATATATATATATAAAATATATCTGCCGTGATCAACCCACTTATTTCTGTATATAGCGTAAATCCAGATTGTATTTTGATCGTGTTGTATCATGCATCTACCGATACGATGTTCTACACACGCATGTAAGGTACAGATCAGCAACCGGCACGATCACAATTCCCAGTGACGGGACATTGCATATAGGGCAGACCTGTTCCTACCCTATGTTTGATTCTGGATGATGCAAATTTTATTGTAATGTACAACGACTCTATTCTCCGACGAAGGGTCATCGCCCAAAACGTCAGCATGAGCTGTATCCGGGTGCAACATCCCACCAGAGTTAATTTATTATAAGTTGAACGTATAATTTGCGTGTGTGAGAGAGTTGTACTGTATGTTATATTAGCTCTAGCTATGTGTATGCTGTATATTAGTCACAGCTGTGTGCATGCTGTATGTAAGTCGCTTTGCGTTCCCGCTCCTCGCCACCCCATGTTTGTCATTGCTCCCACGGGTCTCTCTCCTATCCGTTACGTACGGCGCGAAAGAAGTTCAACATATAAATAAATATATACATCCGTACGGCCTGGACTGCCTCTCAGTGTAGTCATTATAGTGCTGCGTCATTGTTCAGCGCTTTGTGAATTGTTTTGAAAGTCGCGATATAAAACTCACTTGTTGTTGTTGTTATTATAATCACCGAGCTATGATGATCCAAGCGACACGGGTTTAATCACCAGACACACACTCACACTTACACGCGACTGCTTCTGAGCAAGTGTTCTCAGAACCCCGTCTGGAATCGGAGGTCAACGTCAGCCACTGTGGAAGAGGATCGAGCGGACTTCTGGCCGTGCCCGGCGCGCGAGCTGCCGCATTGCCCCTCTCACGATCGCAGCAACTTTGCAACAAGAGCGTGCATTTGCCATTTTCACTTTTGACAACACGGTGATTAGCGAACATTCGTTCGCAATGCCTTCCACCGCGCGTTCTAAACAACTGTGAATTATGTGTTGTGAAGAAGGGCTATTGCCCGAAACGTCGCCTATGATATATATTTCGTTTAAGGCCACAGCGTTGAGTTTGTTTTTGTTCGACACAACTGAATCGCCCGTGCGTGTGGGCCCCGATAAAGCATTTAGAAGGTGGCCTGAGCCTTCAACAGCTGTGATGATGGTGGTGGTGTGGGGGACAGCACCCCCCCCCCCCCCACTTTACCCCCATCCCCCTCCAGCCCCCCCCCCCCCACCCCCCCTCACCTCGACGCGCTCCTCCCGCAGGTGGACCCGGCGCGCCAGCTGCTCGCGCATGCTCACGTCCGGGTACTGGTTCTGCTCGAAGAGCTCCTCCAGCGCGCCCAGCTGCTCGTCCGTGAAGATGGTGCGGTGCCTCCGCTTGCGCTTGTGCAGCTGGTGCAGCATGTGCATCTCGAGGCGAGCCGCCGCCTCCCCGGGCAGGTAGGGCCAGAGAGCGGGCAGCCCCGCGGGCCCGTACAGAGCCGAGCTCCCGAAACCTGCGGTAAGACATTTGCGTGCGTGCGTTGGAGCAGAGCGCGGCTGCATTTTCTCGCGATGGGATATTTTGCGGAACGCTGCCCGAGGCTGACTTTAAAACGGGCGAAGGGATTCCCTGCTGCTCACGTGAGGCCCTGAGGTTGTCGGTGGCTAGGAGATGTCAACTACCTCGCTTGGTATACAGGAGGTCGTGGGTTCGATCCCGACCCTGACGCCTGCTGCTGTGTATTTGGAGTTTGCGTGTCTCTCTCCCCGTGGTCGCGTGGATTTTTCTCTGGGTCCTCTGGTTTTTTCCCCCTCCACATGTAGAAACACGCGTTTAGAGTATTTGGTTGCTATACATTTCCACGTGATTAGCCACTTTGTTGAGCGATCATTTGTGGCCAGGTTGCTTGTGAATAAGAGCTGTATAGCTCAGTGGGCCTTTCCTTGTAAAAAAAAAAACATTGTTTCGTTCAATGGAATAGTTTTCCGTTTACAGCCCTAAACCAGCGGTGGAAATCCCATATTCTTATTACGTAAGATAACCGCTGTTGATTCTCTCACAAAGTGGTACCTGTTTTATCGACCCCCTAAAGCGACGATGTACTGGTTGAAAGCGCAATCACAGCACTAGTCTGGCAACCCTCCGGTCACGATTAGTTCGCTCTGCCTCCTGAGCCACACAGCTCGGCGTAGGAACTCCCCGCGTAAGGGGCTACCACTCGAGTCGAAGACTAATTGTGTTCCTATAATACTATTGATACATGGACTCACCGTTACGTGCGTCCTTATTAAAGACAGTTTTTTTCTCAGAGCAAGGAAGTTAAATGTATAAGTAGTGTCCTTAAGGACATCCGATAACCGTAAGCGCTCTTCCCGCACGTGTTATGCACACGGCCACACACACACCGCAAAGACAAAGATCCCCCGCGTAGCCTTTTCACAGACTGCTGGGGCAAGTGCTATCAGCGAGCACATTTGAGTGCATCCCCTGTCAAGATGTCCATTCTCTACCCCGAGTAGCGGTGCCTCCGTGCCGTCACGGCGAGCACTCCGGACTTGCAAGACGGAGGTCACGGGCGAGTCAGCAACTCAGGTGAGGCCCGACACCACCTTCATATGACCAGAGTATCCAGAGAAAAGCCATGCCTGCAAGAGGGTAATATTCGAAACGTCGCCGATTCAGCGAATGGACCAAATTGCACTGAGCTCACGGTTGCGCTGCCATCTGTTGGCTGCGACCAGAAATTCACCGCAGCAGTGACACGCAGACGCCGATGGCCAGAGCCGTCCCCAGGTTTTGGCGAAACGGCGCGACCAGCACGGGCCCCGCGCTTGGAGGGTGGAGGGGGGCCGCACTTCGACGTGACGGTGTCAGACGTGATACTTCCTGGGGAGTTTGAAAGCACTTGGGGCTCCACAGTGGGATGCGCAGTACCGGATTATCCTCGTAGCAAAGGTATCTACATATGTAGTAGTAGCTACATATGTAGATATGTAGATACTACATATGTAGTAGTAGCTACATGTGTAGTAGCTACATATGTAGATACTACATATGTAGCTATGTAGCTACATATGTAGTAGTAGCTACATATGTAGTAGTAGCTACATATGTAGTAGTAGTAGCTACATATGTAGTAGTGGCTACATATGTAGTAGTAGCTACATATGTAGTAGTAGCTACATATGTAGTAGTAGTAGCTACATATGTAGTAGTGGCTACATATGTAGTAGTAGCTACATATGTAGTAGTAGCTACATATGTAGTAGTAGCTACATATGTAGTAGTAGCTACATATGTAGTAGTAGCTACATATGTAGTAGTAGTAGCTACATATGTAGTAGTAGCTACATATGTAGTAGTAGTAGCTACATATGTAGTAGTAGCTACATATGTAGTAGTGGCTACGGGCCCCGCGATTTAAAGTGCCCCGCGCTAAATGCTTTCCAGCTATCAATTCCGGTTCAGTGATTCTGTACTTGCTCTATTACTATAGTACTATACTGCCTTCAACTTTTACGAACGACTGGGTGTTTAAGGTTAGCGATTTGTCGTATTATCTGGCTGTATAGCAAGTGAAAAAATACACTTACTTTACTATGCAAGTACATTTTATATATATATTTACTTTTTTGTATTTAGGGCCCCTTTATAACATATGCTACAGGCCCCGCACTAGCTTAATCCGGCACTGGGGACGTGCCCCGGGGCACAGCCCCTCCCCTGTGGACGGGCCTGCCGATGACAACCTCTGCTTGTGCACGGCGTTGAACACATCCAGAGCTCTCTCCCGGCTGCTGCAGCCATGCTCAGCGTCTTCTTGAGACCTCACGAGTTTCGGCGCATTCTGGGTGACCTGGTCACGAGGCGCCAACACTCGCCCCAGCCTCTCACGCCGCAATCTCCAGCGCCACACCCGTCCCGGGGCCTCGTTGAGCCAGAGGGCTTTAGGGGTTGCACCCTGGGCCTCGGATTGTGAGTGCCCCCCCCCCCTCCCTCCAACATATATTTCAATAAACAGCTTCATAATGGATGACATGCAACACTCTCGCACTGCGATAAATCCTACAGCGTAATGTAATCGTTAAAGTCACCACATCGCGGTGTGCATGACTCACCGGTTATGTTGCCGAATGTAAACTACTTTGGTTCGTCTTCTTGGTTCTTTCGGTAAAGTCACGTAGAAGGGAAGTAATAAAATAATAAAAATAAAACATTATAAAATAATTCTCACGACGCTCCAAGCGTGGTGGTGTTTCATTCAGACGCTTTCTCCCCGACAGACCTGGTCTTCTGATGACGGCTGCTTGCGTCATGGCCGAAACGTCGTGAGAATAATTTTATTATGTTTATTTTTATTATTTTATTACTTCCCTTCTACGTGACTTTACCGAAAGAACCAAGAAGATGAATCCCTGCAGTCACGAAATCTTTAAATCGAAATGTATACATTGGTTCGTGCTAACGTTGAGTTGGCTTTACAACTAGTGCTTCGCATTTACAGAAGAAGACAAAACTCGAACTGAAATAGCCAAAGTGAGTAACGCTGGGCGTGGGTGGTGGTGGTGGTCGTGAAAGGTCGAGGTGAGGAATGGATTAAACAGAGAGGAGTCCCCCAATATGACAGCCCAGGCCCCCCCTAAACATGAATCCAGTCCCCCTCCCCGTTACCATTTCTTATTCGCAGTAAAACATGTGCGTGTCCTCTACACAGGCGTGTATCACTACACACAATGGCAGCGCAGTTCACAGACAACACCCTCGCATTTACATGTTGATTTGTATTTAACTTGTTAAAAAAAACTCTTCATTTGTACCAGTGCACCAGAAAATGGAGTGTGCGTGATCTGAGTAGACTTGTACACGACTCGGCAACCCTAAACCTCATCCGCACACACACCGTGCCAGCAGCAGATGTGGATACTCGATGATGTTGATGATGATGCAAAATTTTTTAATTAAACGCTGTCTGGCTCAATCAAAGTTCAACGTAACATTAGAAGCGTTGCTCTAAATCAACATGAGCCATAGCAAGAAAAAGTGCACGTCTCCATAAAACAAACCCTGGTATCAGTGTCATGGAACCTTACGAAGTATTTGTTCGGGCAGTTGTGGCGGTGGTGGCGGTGGTGGTGGTGTGTTGCCAATCGGCACAACTGCGGACGCATTCACCGCGAACGTGGACCTTAAATATCTCGCGACATTATCCGCGAAAATTCGGCCACGTGTGCCGACGTCACGGTCCAAATCTGCTCAAATTTGGAAAATTGCTCGCAAATTACTTAATTGGAGTAGCCAATAGCGACATCAGCCCCTACCCACAGACGAACTCCCCACTCGCAGGCCCCTATAGCGATGTGTCCCTCACGCACCGCACAGGAAGGGCTGTCAGCAGGTTTATTCGTGTCGTACACCCTCCTCCACCCGACACAGCCCAGCAGCGTGGACTACACGCATGTTTATTTTACAACATAATTGCTATTATTACGTTTTTTTTTTTTACAAATCTGCAATTGTGGAATGCTTTGATGTTGTCTGCCTGCCGAAAAGCTCCTTGGAATAGAGTTCCTTAGCTCTATTGGCTTTACCCAGTGATAAAAACACTTGTGATTCTATTTAGATTTAAAGCTTTCGTGACTGCAGGGATTCATCTTCTTGGTTCTTTCGGTAAAGTCACGTAGAAGGGAAATAATAAAATAATAAAAATTAAACATAATAAAATACAATTCTTACGACGTTTCGGCCACAACCCAAGATTAATTATTATGAATTATAACACTGGTCGCGAAAGTATGAACGCGTTAAATTTAGAGAGATAATAAGAGATATTCTTGGTTCTTTCGGTAAAGTCACGGAGAAGGGAAATAATAAAGTAATAAAATACAAAACTATAAGAATTCTCACGACGTTTCGACTGCAACACAATCATCATCAGGTGTGAAATCCACACCTGATGATGATTGCTTGTGTTGCAGTCTAAACGTCGTGAGAAATGTAGTTTTATATTGTATTATTTTATTATTTCCCTTCTACGTGACTTTACCGAAAGAACCAAGAATATTAATCCCTGCAGTCACGAAAGCTTTAAATCAAAAGATAATAAGAGAGTTTGTCATTGTAATTATTGGGGCATTTCTGCGCCCGATAAATGCAAATGTCTCATTGCTCAGTGCACGTGACATCAGGCAGCACGTGACTGACTCCTCTACACAACACGTGACTCCTCTACACATCACGTGACTCTACACAGCACGTGACACTACACAGCACGTGACGACACAGGCCGTGACTCTACAGAGGCCCTCTTGAAACACGACTTCACTGCGCGCAATAAAATCCATGTTGTCGTTAGCGGGTTATTTGACACGGTAGAATTACTTTAGGCAATGAAATGTAAGCTAATAAATCTGCTCATCAGGTTTTTTTGTTAACTCCGCAGTGAGTGGGAGGAGGGGGCGGCAGCGGCGCAGAGGTTGGTTGTTAGCGCGCTGCGCTCAAAGCTTGACGACCCGG